AATATTGAAGATTTATCATTGTATACCCCTTTGAAAAGTTTAATAATGTAAGTCAGTATGAAAAGAAATAAAATATAAAAATTTCTTGGAAAAATTAAATTTAATATAATCAATTGGAACTGTTGGGCTTAAAAAATAAAATATTAAGTAATGAATTTCTCCAATTGATTGACAATTCAGATATTTTGGGATTGACATAAACATGGATGCTGACACCAATTAATGAAATATCAAAAAGTAATGAAGAATATATTAGCCCAGAAACCAGTAGGGTCTGGTCATCCCTATAGCAGTCTATGCTTAATAATAAAGAAAGAAATTGGGATTGTAAAACATATACAAAAATCCAATAATAATATACTAATTTTGTTACAAATTACTAACACGGATATGAAGTATTTGGATAAAAGATTAATTATAATAATGTTGGTATACTGTATATACCACCAGATCAGATTGAAGTATTAAATGAAACATTTAAACAGCTAGAAAGATGGAAAAATTTAACCCCAAATATATTGATTATAGATTTTAATTCTCATATTGCATAGTTATTAGATACTGTATGTATCTAATATGTAAGTAATAATATGTAAGTAATATGTATAAAATATATAAAATACACCCAAAATGCATTTTGGATGTATTTTATGTATTTTATATATATTAATTTTAATTATTCTAAAACCTTTGTTTTGTAAACTTAAATATGTAATAAATTTAAGAAATTTTGTATTCATATTCATTGGTGTGATAAGCCCTAACATGAATAACTGGTCTTAGTAGAAATGTTCAATACATTTTTGTTACTCTGTAATAAAAAAATTTAATAATTTTAAAAATTATAAAGATGTTATGATTTAATTTTTTATTTTACTCAGAAGTCTCTCCTAATTGAGTGATTGCCAAAAATTGGGAAAAGGTTGCTGAAAATTGTCAGGAAATATATTCTGTTGTAGAATGTAAATGTTTATTATAATTCTGAATTGATGGATTTTGATATGATTATAATATATTTTAGACTTGAAGGTTTTATCTTACAACAAGGCACTATGCTTACAAAGAAAAGGATGCAAGTTATCTACCTGCCACAAGATCACACAATAATGCTGCAAAGCTTTCTAAAAAATAGAATTTTATTTTATTTTTTAAAGTTTTGACTTCATTTTTGATGGTCATAAAACTGTATAAAATGTAAATTTTGAATATATTTGGTGTGCCATTATTCCAACTGTTCTAAAAGATTAAAGTTATTTTAATTGTCTCTTTTTTACATATATTAATGTTTTAAAATTGAACTTATAGAATATAATATATGTTTTTAAGATTTAAAATAAAAATTTTGTAATAAAATTTCTTACCTAATAATGAAAGAGTACTATTGTTTTGAAACATATCAACTGTTACTTGGCTAGGTGCTGTCTCTCTTGCATCAATAACTTTTGCTTCACCTGTTGTTCTGTTTCAAATGAGAAATGCATTTATTTCTATTTATTTGATGTAATGTTTTAAATAAAATCATAATTAATCAGTTCAAGTAAATGCTACAGACAAAAAGTATGGTAGCATAAAATAAAAGTACCTTAATTAATAATAATTTTAACCTGTTTCAAAAATGATGATAAAAAAAATGCTAAATGTGCAATTTTTTCCAGGCTTTACAGAGTAACTGTACATTTGTTAAATTTATTTGCTAATATCCATTTAATAAATCTAATGCTGAAACATTTTCATTTTATCATTTCAGATTTTTACTAGAAGAAAAAGTACAGAGGAGAGAGGGATAAATTTTGATCATTATGTAATCCAGAAAGTTCTTTAACATTAAATTAGATTTTTCTCCCTTATGTTATTGAACAAAAGAGATTGCAAGATTAAGAAAGCAAATTTATGATTAATTTTTAAGAACTATCATTTCTTTGTGAGCCCTTAACATGTGTTATTTGTTAAAAATATTTACTATTTGCTAATCATAAATCATGTTTAAAATCAAGAATTTTCATTGTAAATATATAAACAAAATTTGAATTATTAATTAGATTTATTAAATTATTAATTAGATTTCTCCATTTGCCATGTTTTTACTCCACTCAAGCAAATATAAATATAAAAATTATGATTTTAGGTAACTTCTTCAAAACCTAACTCATGAATTAATTTTCCATTGATTATTAACTTTGATATGTGTGATTTTGATATTCTAATGATATACCTATATTAATTTCTACTTTTACTGATGTAATATATTAGAAATATATGAACAGTTTGATAAAGCTTTTTGTGTTGAATGTTTTGAATATTAAAGATTAATGGTCTAAAACATGTTAAATTATTACACATAAAACAGTTATGATTTAAAATTGATAATACAACAAATTGAAGGTGTTTCAGAAGAAGTGATTTATCTTTCAGGCATAATGCTTGCTATTATAAGCAAATGTATCAATTTATTTTTCAGGAAATTGATGCTAAATGATAAAGATGCTTTAATTAAAAAAAAAAAACATATTAATAAACGATTTTTGTGATATTATAACACTTCTATATTTATGGGTTGACAAATTGTCTCTTCATAACCTTATATGTTCTGTAAATGACTGAATTTCTAGCACTAATTTGAAATGAAACTAATTTATTTGATGTCTCTACATAATATTTGTATAAAAATTATCATCATCATACACACAAATACAACATGAATTAATGCTGTATTTGTGCATGTATATAGGTTTATATGAATTAATAATAATTTTACAAAAAAAAAATTATTTAGAGAACAGAAAATTATTACTATTGACATATATAAATATATAAAGTATGATCTCATTCTGACTTACTTATTATAAATAGTCATGAAAAATCCTCCACCAAGTCCCATACTTTGTGGATTAACAGCTCCATCACAAAACAAAGTGGCAATTGCTGCATCAACAGCAGAACCATTATTATCTAATATATACCTAGAAGAAATTGAAAGCTATATTTTAATTTCATCANACAAAAAAAAAAAAAAAATAGTAAACTGGGTGTGCAATTATTACAACATATTAAATTGGCAATTGAAGAATGATTGCCCATCAGAATTTACTTGTATCACAAATACTGGTAGTTCTGGTGATATGTTCTGAGATGTTAATGGACTTATGTATATTGAAGTTTTAAATTGTGATATGACTGATCATTTTCCAGTCAACATTAGATATGTGGTCACAAATAGTCTGGTACATAAAACTAAGTCTTTACCTTACCAAAGAATAGATTATAATTATCAGGAATTTCAGTTACAAATTAGTAATAAAATTAAAACTATTCCTAAAATTTCATTGGGAAATGGAAAAGAAATATATTTCCAATTGGAAGGAATAATAAAGGAAATTATAAATATAAGAACAGTAAAGAACAAGAAAAAATACCATTTTAAAAAACCTTTGTATGATCTTAATTGCCATATTTTAAAACGAAAGAAAACAAAGCTTTAATGCAATTTAGAAAAGAATCAACAGAAGTAAACTTAATTAATTATAAGAAAAATAAAACAATGTATTTTAATTTACTATAGATATACAGAGTTATGAAAATGTTTTAGATTCTTTATTTAGTTATGAAGAATTGGAAGCTTCTATTAATAAAATGAAACCAAAATCTTCACCAGGTGCAAACTTAATTCCGTTAAGTTTTTGAAGTTACTACTACAACCAGGAAAATTAGTTTGCTTGATTTATTTAATTCTTTTTACACTATATTAAGTTTTCCAGAATCTTGGAATTTGGTTAAATTACTTATGATTCAAAAAAAGATGATTGAAAAGATCCCAAAAATTATTGCCAATTGCATTATCATCAACAATAAGAAAATTTTTTACTTCAATACTTGCAATGAGATGTTAAAGATGGATATCTGAAGAAAACTTAAATTCTAAATTTCAATTTGCATATACTAAAACCAAAGGTACTGAAATGGCAATATTTTTTCTATCATTATTAGTGCAAATTTATCTACTTAAGAAACATATCAATAAATGCTGTAAATATTTTCCTATCTCAAAAGCATTTGACTCTNATAATGTTGGTATACTGTATATACCACCAGATCAGATTGAAGTATTAAATGAAACATTTAAACAGCTAGAAAGATGGAAAAATTTAACCCCAAATATATTGATTATAGATTTTAATTCTCATATTGCATAGTTATTAGATACTGTATGTATCTAATATGTAAGTAATAATATGTAAGTAATATGTATAAAATATATAAAATACACCCAAAATGCATTTTGGATGTATTTTATGTATTTTATATATATTAATTTTAATTATTCTAAAACCTTTGTTTTGTAAACTTAAATATGTAATAAATTTAAGAAATTTTGTATTCATATTCATTGGTGTGATAAGCCCTAACATGAATAACTGGTCTTAGTAGAAATGTTCAATACATTTTTGTTACTCTGTAATAAAAAAATTTAATAATTTTAAAAATTATAAAGATGTTATGATTTAATTTTTTATTTTACTCAGAAGTCTCTCCTAATTGAGTGATTGCCAAAAATTGGGAAAAGGTTGCTGAAAATTGTCAGGAAATATATTCTGTTGTAGAATGTAAATGTTTATTATAATTCTGAATTGATGGATTTTGATATGATTATAATATATTTTAGACTTGAAGGTTTTATCTTACAACAAGGCACTATGCTTACAAAGAAAAGGATGCAAGTTATCTACCTGCCACAAGATCACACAATAATGCTGCAAAGCTTTCTAAAAAATAGAATTTTATTTTATTTTTTAAAGTTTTGACTTCATTTTTGATGGTCATAAAACTGTATAAAATGTAAATTTTGAATATATTTGGTGTGCCATTATTCCAACTGTTCTAAAAGATTAAAGTTATTTTAATTGTCTCTTTTTTACATATATTAATGCTTTAAAATTGAACTTATAGAATATAATATATGTTTTTAAGATTTAAAATAAAAATTTTGTAATAAAATTTCTTACCTAATAATGAAAGAGTACTATTGTTTTGAAACATATCAACTGTTACTTGGCTAGGTGCTGTCTCTCTTGCATCAATAACTTTTGCTTCACCTGTTGTTCTGTTTCAAATGAGAAATGCATTTATTTCTATTTATTTGATGTAATGTTTTAAATAAAATCATAATTAATCAGTTCAAGTAAATGCTACAGACAAAAAGTATGGTAGCATAAAATAAAAGAACCTTAATAATAATTTTAACCTGTTTCAAAAATGATGATAAAAAAAAATGCTAAATGTGCAATTTTTTCCAGGCTTTACAGAATAACTGTACATTTGTTAAATTTATTTGCTAATATCCATTTAATAAATCTAATGTTGAAACATTTTCATTTTATCATTTCAGATTTTTACTAGAAGAAAAAGTACAGAAAAGAGAGGGATAAATTTTGATCATTATGTAATCCAGAAAGTTCTTTAACATTAAATTAGATTTTACTCCCTTATGTTGTTGAACAAAACAGATTGCAAGATTAAGAAAGCAAATTTATGATTAATTTTTAAGAACTATCATTTCTTTGTGAGCCCTTAACATGTGTTATTTGTTAAAAATATTTACTATTTGCTAATCATAAATCATGTTTAAAATCAAGAATTTTCATTGTAAATATATAAACAAAATTTGAATTATTAATTAGATTTATTAAATTATTGAATTATTAATTAGATTTCTCCATTTGCCATGTTTTTACTTCACTCAAGCAAATATAAATGTAAAAATTATGATTTTAGGTGACTTCTTCAAAACCTAACTCATGAATTAATTTTCCATTGATTATTAACTTTGATATGTGTGATTTTGATATTCTAATGATAAACCTATATTAATTTCCTCTTTTACTGATGTAATATATTAGAAATATATGAACAGTTTGATAAAGCTTTTTGTGTTGAATGTTTTGAATATTAAAGATTAATGGTCTAAAACATGTTAAATTATTACACATAAAACAGTTATGATTTAAAATTGATAATACAACAAATTGAAGGTGTTTCAGAAGAAGTGATTTATCTTTCAGGCATAATGCTTGCTATTATAAGCAAATGTATCAATTTATTTTTCAGGAAATTGATGCTAAATGATAAAGATGCTTTAATTAAAAAAAAAAAACATATTAATAAACGATTTTTGTGATATTATAACACTTCTATATTTATGGGTTGACAAATTGTCTCTTCATAACCTTATATGTTCTGTAAATGACTGAATTTCTAGCACTAATTTGAAATGAAACTAATTTATTTGATGTCTCTACATAATATTTGTATAAAAATTATCATCATCATACACACAAATACAACATGAATTAATGCTGTATTTGTGCATGTATATAGGTTTATATGAATTAATAATAATTTTACAAAAAAAAAATTATTTAGAGAACAGAAAATTATTACTATTGACATATATAAATATATAAAGTATGATCTCATTCTGACTTACTTATTATAAATAGTCATGAAAAATCCTCCACCAAGTCCCATACTTTGTGGATTAACAGCTCCATCACAAAACAAAGTGGCAATTGCTGCATCAACAGCAGAACCATTATTATCTAATATATACCTAGAAGAAATTGAAAGCTATATTTTAATTTCATCATTATTTATGAAAGAGGTTTTATCAGCAGATATTATATTCAATATTTATTAAATTCGTATATGCTAT